CCCAGGAGGCTGAGGCAGAAGGATCAACTATGCTCAGGAGATCGAGGCTGCGGTGAGCTGTGATTGTGCCACTGCACTCCAGCCTGGGTGACAGAATGAGACCCTGACTCAAAAAAAATGCTTTGAAATGCCACCCATAGGCCAGGAGTGGTCGCTAACACCTATAATTCCAGCACTTTGGGAGGCCAAGGTGAGAGGATTGCCTGAGCCCATGAGTTCGAGACCAGCCTGGGCAACTTAGTGAGACCCCATCTCTACAATAAATCAAAAAAATGAGCCGGGCGTGGTGGCATGTGCCTGTAGTTCCAGCTACTTGGAAGGCTGAGGCAGAAGCATCGCCTGAGCTCAGCAGGTTGAGGCTGCGGTGGCCAGGAGCGAGTCACTGCCCTCCAGCCTAGGTGACAGAGTGAGACTCCTACTCAAAAAAAAAAGAAATGCCACCCAGGTTTTGCATGGACAGGTAGGCATAGAGCCTATGGCCCTGGCAGCCAGGAGTCAGAAGAGAACGTCCTACCCACTCAGTGAGGAAGAGTCATGCTGCACCAACAGCCAGTAAGAGCAAAAGCCACCCTGAGAGAAGCTGGCATACCCAGCCAAGAGGCACCTGATAAAGACACAAGAAAACAGAGGTGGCGAACCAGGCAGTGGCCCTATGTCCCCTGACAGATCACATGTCAGAGGCTCCTACGTCCCCCAAGAGGAAGCTGGTGTTGGAAAGGATGCCACCAGCCCCCCTCCACTGCTCAGCCCATGGGGCGAGGAGGGACTGGTCCTCCTGCCCAAGACCCCTCAAGATCCCTGACCTCTGCCCACATGTGACTCCTTCATGCGACCCATGCCCCTAAACACAACCTTTCCACGATCTCCCAGTGCTTTTTGTAAAATGGCCTCAGCAGGCGACCTCTGGCCAGTCCGCGTCAGCTCCTCGGTACCTTCGAAAGATCCAGCCCCTCTGACCCACTCCTCCCATCCATCAGCTCTGGCTTTTTCTGGAGCCTTCTCCAACAGTCCCACAAGGGTGGGGGCTTATCCTAGGAGCCTACCTATTGCAGTCATGGCCAGCTGTCCCAGGTGGGCACCCAGAGGGCCAGAAGCCACCCAACATGTGACCTTCCTCAGACGGGCACAAGACCATGGGCAAGCATTTCCCCTCCCTCTCAAAGACTTGTCGGAAGCCCACGTCTCACTCTCATCCAGAGTTCAGCTTCTGCAGCGTGGAACTGAGGTTGGGAATGAGTAGTGCTGGCAGTCTGCACCTCCCAGGAGACACCATTCCACTGATTGGGAGCTAGGGAGAGGGAGCCCTGTCTTCTGGGACTCTGGGCTGGGGGCAGAGAGGAGGAGATGGCCCAGCCACAGCCCAAGTGCTTACATACACTCTCTGTTCTTATCCATATTTGGTATATTTTCTTTTTTCTTTTTTCTTTTTTGAGTAGGAGTCTCACTCTGTCACCCAGGCTGGAGGGCAGTGGCACACTCCTGGCCACCGCAGCCTTGACCTACTGGGCTCAGGCAATCCTTCCACCTCAGCCTTCCAAGTAACTGGAACTATAGGCATACGTCACCATTCCCAGCTAATTTTTTTATTTATTGTAGAGATGGGGACTCACCAAGTTGCCCAGACTGGTCTCAAACCCATGGGCTCAGGCAATCCTCTCACCTCAACCTCCCAAAGTGCTGGGATTATAGGCATGAGCCACTGTGCCCGACCTCATATTTGGTATATTTTCTTTAATAAATGTTTCTTCATGTGCTGTGTAGACTTAAGACAATTTCCAGAGACTTTAAATGGTCATTTGTGGGGGGTGGGTTGATATTTTTTGTTTTCTATTGGCACCAGTTGTTGGGAGCCAACATCTATAGCTACATGGCTGAGGCCTGTAAAGGCCCATCTGGAAGATC